AACCAACAGTTCAAAACACTGCACCACAACCAACAGTTCAAAACACTGCACCACAACCAACAGTTCAAAATCCAGCACAGCAACAACCACAAACAGAGCAAGGACATAAAAGAAGTAGAGAACAAGGAAACCAAGAATTCTTAAAAATGCTTAAGGAAAATTATGGTTACCCAGATACTCTTGACTTTAAGTGACAGATATAAATGAAGCTATTAGAAAGTTCAAGGAAGAAATACTGACCCCGAACCTATTTAGCTTATGGCTCAACACCAAATCGGATATAATTTCAAACCTGAAAATACAAGCTCGCAAAGGGATATGATTTAATAGCTAATCATCCAAATGACATGAACGAATTTACCTCGAGATATTTGTGTCAGAGCTAAATGATGATTCAACTATCTTCATGAAACGCGTAAAAAATAGAGACGGAACGAAAGAAGAAAGGCTTATGAATGCAGATGAACTTAAATAGGGAACTTGTTAAAAACGGTCTCGGAATATATGAAAATGCCAGCAGATGAGGTACAAGAAACTCCACAGGAAGAAGTTCAGATACAACCAGACATGGAAGAAATAGTTTAGCAACAACAGCTAGAAGAGCCTGAAGGAAAACGAACAAGTCGCTCCTTTGGAAACTAACTTCACAGAACTAGATGAAGATTTGGAACAGCCGAAAAATCTTGACCCTCAACAAGAGTATGCGGAGAATATGGAATATTTCCAAGAGTCTAAAAAAAATTCGGCTGACATAGTAGAAGAATATCGAAAAATGTTTGCCGACATACAAAGACTCCAGCACCAGATGAAAATATTCAGCATTAGAATGGAAGAACTGAAAAAAAATGTACACAAATACAACAACCCTTTTTACTTACGAGCATTTAACGTTCAATCTTTGGATGAACTCGGTGAAAATAAAAGGTTAAATTTCAAGAAAACATATAGAAATGAAACATTGTTTAAAGTTCATTCAGAACCTAACCAAGATGGAAACAAACCTACTTTTGTTTCTGCAGACGATGGAACTACAATGATGGGGTCATAAAGCTAACCCGGATAGGTGGTTCATAAACTTACAACCACAATTCCAAGAAGTTGTAGACGCAATGGAAGTGAAATGGTGAACCAGATATAGCTGGTATTTTCAGCGCGGCTTTAATGCCATTGAAAGATATGAAACATGCAGATATTTTGGACCAGTATGAAATGAACATGGCTGATGGAAATATAAACACCTGACGTTCTAGAACATTTATCTCAAAGAACTACACAGAACCATAAAGATGGTATATTTGGTGAAGAGTTAGAAAGAAAGTTAGGGAGACAGAAGGAAGAGAACCTATTGTACATGACCTTGCAAACGAAAGTTTACAAAATGTCATAAAAACTTACTTTGCAGACAATGAACCGAGAAGGGATGAATATTTAAGAAAACTCAAATGGACAGTACCAATGAAATGTTAGTATTGAAAAACATGTTCCTTGACAAAATAAAACCAACTACAGAAATAAACGACGCAAGACTGAAAGATTGGGTAAAAGCTTTCCCATTCACAAAAGATATAGTGGTAACATGGAAAGAAAACCAGAATGGCTACAAAAAACATATATTTGGAAAACGAGCATATTCCATATGGACAGCACTGTTTGAAGAGCTTGAACCGGAAACTCAGGAAAGAGTCATGCAAACAATACGCAACGACTCAAATACAAACTATGACAAACTCTTTCTAGGATATAGGTTACCTGAGATGGGCGACCAGAGCCCAAAGGCAAAAAGGACATGGGAAATTTGCAACATACTAGATGAACATAATGCAAAGATGCAACAACTTCAAGCAGAGGGCAATGAAGGAAAAAGAAGAGTTAAAAACTCAGTCAGGAAGAAAGTAAAGCTTGGTCGGAGTGGGTTCTATTATGACATATAAATCCAACTATTCTATATTTTTACTCATATGAAATGTACGCCGCTCAGAATATAACGCCAACAGTTTTTGGATGCCATGAACGGAAATGTTTCCGAATGGTATATAACGAATGCGACAATGCCATTAGAAGGTCAGAAATAGTTCCTGAACTTACGAATATACAACTGCTGTTTCTTATGGAAACGTAGGTGAGTTTGGAGAAGGTTCTTCAACAACAGTAGATATTGCTTGCGACAGGTTCATCATATAATTTCTATTGACAACTCTTTCTTATACGTGGAACAAGACATTGAAATAAAACCTTCTGCCAAGTTGTCTGACAAGAAAGGTTGCAATGGAATTTTCTATGTCGGATACCAATATGCTCCAGAAGTTTTTCATGGGATATAAGATATATCTAACTCTGACTTAGTTCAAACAGTAACATGGGCAAACTATGAATGTGTTCGCTTGAGAAACTCAGTACAACCACAAGCTAGAGAACAAACAGACCAGTATGCAACTATTGAGAGAAAATAGAAGACTTGACCCTAACGTTCCAGGAGTTTATGTTAACCTTTCTGGTTCAGATGGAACTGCAGTAACCAAAGTAAAATTGAAACTTAGAGTTCCTTTTGTCATCTTTCCTCATCTTCAGGTTTTTAAGATACTTGCCAAACTGGGCAGGAAAATTTCTATCGAACTTACTCCAAGCAAAAATAACTTAGTCATTGCACCAACACAAGACCCATTCACTCTACAGAAGTAGTGGGAACAAATAAAATGTCATTCGCCGACTTTTGCAAAAACAAAGTTGACTTAGACTTTGGTTTCTCAAACCTCAACACTGAAGTAAACTATTATTTCAATGCTGCTGGAGATGCTTGGGACCCAGTTAAGTTTACATGCGAAAAGTTTGAATGCAAGAGAATAGAAAGCAGACTTGCAGTCTATATGTTGGACCCAGATATTTCAAATGCTTTAGCTGCCAAATATATTGCAGTTCCGCTTATGTTCCCTATACACCAAATATCTGTCAAAGACTTTGCAGGTGAAGTTGGAAACCAAAGTGCTAACCCAGGTGCAAGAACAGATATTGCCTTAACAACTGCAATGAAACATGCAGATACTATGTTTGTACTGTTCAGACGAACTATAAATGACTATTCTTGTTTCTACAACCCTGGTATTAAATATCATATAAACATAGATGGCAAATACTATCCAGAGAAGAATATTCTACAGTTGAGGATATGAGGTCATACAACTTGACATTAGATGCTATGAACTTTAACAACAACTTCACAACAACCATTAACCCTGAAATGCAAAGTTCTATTATGCCATATGTGAAAGTATGGACTCATACAGGAGCTCAAAAAACTCAATATACAAATGGAGACCGTTCAAACTTTTGGCTTGGCATTCCATTTGCTGACTCAGAAGACTTTATGGGTGGTATTTCAACTGTTGGTACAGTTCAAATACAATATACTGGTGACAGAGACGGTCCAGATGAATTGAGAGCAAAGAAGTTTACAAAACCAATAGCACTTTTCACGGAAGATGCTCTTTTGAAGATTCGTTCGATGAACCTGCTGGGGCTCCTCAGATTGGCATAACGACAGCTTCCATCGAGCAGATTTTGGCAGCAGGTCAGTAAGTTGTTCTTGAACTGACTTCTCTCCGTCAAATATTGACAGTACGCCAGTTTTGACATAATATTGTAAGATAAACTTACCTTTAGAAATATCGGTCAGTTTTTGTTGTTATATTTTTGTCTGCTTCAAGAACTTTCACCATCTCGGTTATACCAACTTTCTTTGCTTTATGAAAATATTTTGGTTCAGCAAAGACTGCTATTCTATAACATTTTCCATTGTTTGTGTAAAGAACTACTCTGTCAATGAACTTGTATTGTTTGTGTGTGTAAACTTTGTTTTGCTTCAATTCGAAGAGATACTCAATACGTCCATCTTTTATTCTAAGTAAAATGTCATTTCCGAAAAATAGAAGCGTGAGTGTTTCAAAAGTTTAATGGCGGTGGCAGATGTGAAGTTAAATTCACCAACTCAAACAAACAGTCAAAGTGTTGTTGTCAATGTCAAAGAAAGAGATGTTGAAGTGGGGAAACCATACGAAGACGAAGATGGTATAACAATAGTTCCTGTAAAAGAACAACCAACATACCCTGAAGTTAGCAGAGACTTAAGTTCTGTTGCAGATATTCGAAACGACTACCAACAACTGAAAGACAAACTTAAAACTCAGGAGAAGATTTGTCAGGCTTTGGGTATAATGTTAAACTTGGTTGAGCACACACCTGTAAAAGTGAACTCATATGTCATCGCACCTCATGAAATTTTGAAAGAACTATTGAAACTTTTGACAGAGGCAGACGATATAAACATCAAAGAAATAGAACCCGACATTGCTTGCTGTGGTGTTTTCATATAATGTCATTGACAAGATATACGTTATGAAAGGAGGTGAAACGTTGAACTTAAAATATAGTTTCCCAGACGTCATAAAATATTTGACGACCACAACATTTCATTAAAATTTATTTGCTAAGTAAATGGCAGAAGACATAGTGGTTTATACTATTACGACTAAAAACCCTGAGTCATATAATTCTATAACAACAAACTTACAAAGTCCTCAAGGACGATATTGTAAACTAACCTTAAACACAATGACGACTAAAGCTTGTTTTGCTCTTTTGACACCAGAAGATTTTATTGTTGTGAATGGTAAAAAATACTCCTTTGAAGATACTTACTCAGATATACCACCAACAGGTTTTGTTGACTTATTTAATACTTTAAGGACGGATGTAACATGTGCTGCAACTAGAGCAGGTTTCATTATGTTTGGATGTCCGACTGAGTTTACTATAAACGATATGAGCTATAATACAAAACTTATTTCTGGTTTTTACTACCAACAGTTTCCTATAACAGGAAAAGGTGTCATACAAGAATGTCTATTCCATTGACATTAAGCACACCAATCTTATATATTGTTTCAAACTTAGGTTCAAAGTGTTATTCGAATGTCGACAGAAACTACTATGACCAAAAGATACTCATGCGTATAAACAACACTTTCTCTGCTGGTTTGCCTATTGTTCATTCGAATGCAGAGTTTTCAGCTTTAGTAAACTCAAACACTTTAGCAAACATAAACTTAACCTTAGTTGACGCAAACTTTGTTCCTGTAAAACTTTTATGTCCTATGTATTTGTCAATGACGGCAGAAAGTTTCGAATTGGAAGATGCAACTGGTGAAAGTATTGTATTACAAGAACAACTTCAACAACAAATAGCTCAAGAACAACAAATGGAACAAATAGCTCAAGAATAAAAAAAAATATTTTTTTTATTTTATTTGAAATGTACGCTGAGTTTGTTGGAGAAGACCGTTGGGAAACTTGTTTGTTAGATGAGAAATATGAAATTCACTGTTGTGAGTCATTTGAAGTCAGAAACAAAAAGACAAAAAGAGTTTTAAGCGAATGGGAGCAAAATAAAGGATATGCTAGGATGAAGATGAGTGGAAACACTATTTAAAACATGTTGTCATTGCAACTCATTTTATACCGAACCCTAACAATCTACCTCTTGTAGACCATATAAACCGTATAAGAAACGACAATAGACTTGAAAACTTACGTTGGGTTACTCGTTCTGAAAACAATAAGAACAAAAAGCAAATTTAGAGATATTGTATTCGAATTTGTCGACGAACTAGAAGATGAAGCAATTGAAATTATAGACTATGGCAAGCATACGTTTGAGTTTTACTACTATAGCGAAGAACAAGACTCTTTCTACTTTTATACCGGCGTAAACTATAGGAAATTACAAGTATGTTTTACTAAGGATGGCTATGCTTATGTAAACACTAGAGATACAGATGGAAAATACGTTAAAATACTTCTTAACAAATTCAAGAAGCTATATGGCATACCATTTTAAAACGTTTTAAAAAAAAATATTTTTTTATCCGATAGAAAAGATGACGAAATATATTTCAGTCAACAAGTACATGACAGAAGTCAAAGATAAGTTAGCTCCATTCACATATTTGAATGTTTACTTCTACCATTTTGAAAAGTCTACATTTGACAAAGTTTGGAACATCGAACCAGTTAAGTTTGCTATTGTGACTAAAAATGGTGCGAAATTTTGAAGACTTAGACATAGAAGGTTTGTTAGCAGTCAAAGAAAATTTGACAGAAGGTTTTCAAACCTTAAAGAAGGCAAAGCATACAACTTGTTATACCTTATGAACCAAAGAAAGCAGACGACTATGAATATTATGAGTCTAAGATAGTTGAAGTTCAAGGTAAATTGGGTAAAAAGATTTAGAGTCTAAGCCAGTGTTTGCTCTAAAGAGGAAGAGAACATTGACATTGACCCAGAAATGTTCTAAAAATAAAATTTTATTTTTACATGTCATATCTCACCTTCTCTGGAACTGGCTCTGGTTCTTTCTTCTCTTCTTCTACTTTCTTCTCTTCTACTTTTTTCTCTTTCTTTCCTTTCTTCTTCTTCTTCTCTGGTGGAGTTATGTCAAACTTCTCAGAACCATATTTATGTAAAAGTTCTTTGTCCTTTAATAGCTCATCTATTCTGTTTTCTATTTCATCTTCAAGAACAGCGCATGTGTCTTCTTTGCATTCTAAGAACTTTTGTTGGACTTCATCTTTCCAATCGGCGTCATCTCTGTCAACAAGTCTGTCATTGACAAATTTTAAGACTTCTCTGCTTAATGTTTTATGGTTCTTGTCATATTCCCAGAAACAGAACTTTAGAACAAATTCACCTTTCTTGTTTACACTATGTAAGATTTTATGGTCGACAGATGTTTTAGAGTCAAAAAGCTTGTCTCGAATATAGATAGCGAAATCACTAGACATTTTCTAAAAGATAAAAATTTTAATTTTTCTAAAAATATGTTAGAAAAAAAGTTTGCTGACATTGACAAAAAATTTGAGAATGTTTTAAATAAGAACAAGAGGAAGTTGGAAAATGCTCAGATAAAACCCATACATGACAAGTTCCTATTTGCTCAGAATGGTATAACAGGTCTAATCGCACCACCTGGGTCGGGTAAGACTTTCACTTATCTTAAAATGGCTGCACAACAACAAGAACTAGATGAGAAGAACCCATTCTATGAGTTAGTAGTCATTTGTTCGACTTCTGGTCAATTCGATCAAACCGTCAATTCGTTCAAAGATATTATAAAGAAGTCTAAGTTAGTATGTATAAAGGATACTGAGTTGTTAGATTGGATAAAGAAGTACCAAAGAAGAGTTTTGAAGTATAATGCTATAAATGAGTATATAAATTCTAAGTTCAAAGACCCAAATGAGGAAATGCAGAGAATATTAGAGAAGAAACACTTCAGAAACAAACAGAAAGAGATAGAATACATTTCGAAGAAATTGCAATCTTACGATTGGAAGACTTACCCTCATAGATGTCTTCTTATCTTAGATGACTTTGCTTCTCATCCTTTGTTAAAGAACAGAGAACAAGATATGTGTCGAATTCTTAAGAAGCTCAGACACTTTAACATCTCAGTTGTCATTTGTGTACAGACAGCAAAGAGTTTAAGTAAAGATGTTAAAAGAATACTTACTGACATTATACTTTTCCCTGGATTGTCCGAAGACGATTTCATGGAACTTATGAAAAAGTCCATGGCAGGTAAGTTTGACAGACATGAACTATGGGAGAAGTACAAAGTCATACAAGACCCTCATACTTCTTTCAGAATTCATATCTACGCAAACAAAGTTCAAATTGTAAAAAGTCAATAAAAATAAAGAGTTTAGTCTTAGTCTGTTGTGGTTCTGCAGCTTTCGGTTCTTCTGGCTTTGGAATGGACTCGGTTGGTGGTACGTCGGACATTGTCTTGAAACAATAAAAGACTTGTCTTGAAAAAGTAAAAGACTTGTCTTGAAAAAGTAAAAGACTTGTCTTGAAAAAGTAAAAGACTTGTCTTGAAAAAGTAAAAGACTTGTCTTGAAAAAGTAAAAGACTTGTCTTGAAAAAGTAAAAGACTTGTCTTGAAAAAGTGAAAGACTTGTCTTGAAAAAGTACGGGTATCGTCTGAAATCAAGACCACTGTTCTCAAATTTGAGAACTTTACACCAAAAAATTTCTTGAAAAATAACGGGTCTTGTCTTGAAAAAGTAAAAGACTTGTCTTGAAAAAGTAAAAGACTTGTCTTGAAAAAGTAAAAGACTTGTCTTGAAAAAGTAAAAGACTTGTCTTGAAAAAGTAAAAGACTTGTCTTGAAACAATAAAAGACTTGTCTTGAAAAAGTAAAAGACTTGTCTTGAAACAATGACCGACATAGACCCAGCAGATGAGGCAATTTACCATCTAGAGCTACCTGAGCCATCTGAAGTCAAGCGTAAAAATAAATGGTTCATTTACTCTACTTGTTTGAAGTTGTCAAAATACTCTGTTATTTTTTCTTTCAGTAGCGGTAAGTCTTCTTTGAAGGTAAAAATTGTACAACCTTTCATATCATAGTGTGTTTGAGGTAACGTATCTTGAACTATCTGTTTAACATCTTCATTTGGGGTCATTGAAATCGGTAAGTTTTCGCGATAGAACCAATTTCTGTCAGATTTGTAAATCTTAGCAAGGTCGTAAAAGCTTTTGTTGTTTCTTCTGACTAAATGCAACATAACCATATCTTTATCTTCTTCATTTTCCATCTCTTCAGTATAAATCATATACTTATAGTTCTTTTCCTTTCCTTTTGGTACCGAAACGTGGTAATTCTTTTCTGTATGTTTTTGTCTTTTGCTTCAAGCTTGTTCTCTAGCTCTTCACGTTCTTGTCTATGAATTTCATCTAACATCATGAAAATATAACAAGCGTAACGAGGTGAAGCCCACATTGCTACAGCATTTACTAAAAGTCTATGAACATAATATCCTTTCAAACTATTTGGCAAATTTTTACGATTTTCGTACGGAATCTCGTTCCTCGGTTTTCCGAGGAACGCAAACATATGAGGAAATTCTTCTAAAAGTTCTTTTGCCTGCTGGTTTTCAAACAATGATATGCTTGCTTTGTAGAACGAAGAGCTGTCAAAATACTTTGCATTTGGTACATATCGTCTTTGACCGAACGAATGAGACGTAACTGTTTGTTATATTGTATGTACTCGTATTCTTCACTTATGGCTTCATGAACGATAGCAGTTGTTGTGTTCTCTGTTGTTGTCATATCTGTCTTTACATACAAAATAAAAAAAATATTTTATAAAAAATTAGCGTTATTTTTTATTTTCACAAAAGACCAAAAATAAACGCTTTACATGTATTTTTCAGCAACTTCGTCAAGAAGTCTGTAAATATACCATGCATAACGAGGAGAAGCCCACATTGCCTATTGAACTAACTAGGAACTTATGAACATATATACCTTTTAGATGCAATGGTAAGTTTTGTCTGTCTTGGTACATCTTTTAAGTTCTACATGTTCGAACTCACTCAAAAGTTCATGAGTGCTATTTAATTCAAACCAGTCTTGTGGTTTCTTAGTGTCTGGAGCAAAACATGCTGTCAAAATACTTTGCATTTGGTACATGTCATCTTTGACCGAACGAATGAGACGGAGTTGTTTGTTATATTGTATGTACTCGTATTCTTCATTTATGGCTTCATGAACGATAGCAGTTGTTGTGTTCTCTGTTGTTGTCATTTCTGTCTTTACATACAAAATAAAAAAAATATTTTATAAAAAATTAGCGTTATTTCCTGACTTTCACAAAAGACCAAAAATAAACGCTTTACATGTATTTTTCAGCAACTTCGTCAAATAATTTTATAGCTTTATTTATCTCATCTACTTCAAACGTTTCTTTACCTTTTATGGGAGCACCATACATTTTCTCAAACTTTTCAAGTAGTTCTGTTTCAGCAGCTCTCATATCGTTAACGAACACAACCTTGACTCTATTGACTGTACTGTCATATCTTTGAGTTATATTATATGTTCTTCCTATCTTATATCTCTTTGTATTGAAGTCCTTCGGTTTCTGAACGATGTAAAGTAAGCCTTCACTGCAACGTTCCGTATCGAATGAACCATATGTTATGAAGTTATATCCAACAACTGGTCTAACCATAACAAAACTATTGGTATAAGACTTTTGTCTATAAGATATGCTGTAGTTCCATAGAATCTTACCGATATCATAAGCTTAGGATTTCTTGTCAAAATTTTCTGAGTAGAAGCAATTTTAACCCAGTCGTGGGATGTTTTCTTTCCAGATGGAGATATAATGTCTGACAAAGAATATTTGTTGTATTTCTTTGAGTATCTTACGTTTAAATCACCTATTCTAACCACTTTGGTGTCATTGTCTATCTTTCTAACTGTTTCAAACTCAATGTTTAACATATCTGTCTTTACATACAAAATAAAAAAATAAATAAAAATAAAACTAACTTTATTTTTTCTGTCTTAAGGAAATTCATGATTTTCATATGGAATCTCTTCTCTCAGTTTCCGAGGGAAGCAAGCATATGCCATTTTACTCAGATTTTTGTGCTGAATTCAATAAAAATATATTTTAGGTGAAGAGGTGAGATTTCACCTCTTTTTTCACCTGTTTTTTTCACCTCATGAATTTTCATGATTTCATCGTAAAATGTTTTGTCAAAACTTCTTCGTAATGAGCGTAAATGACCCAAAAATATATTTTAGGTGAAGAGGTGAGATTTCACCTCTTTTTTCACCTCTTTTTTCACCTGTTATTTTATAAGCGTTTTACATGAATTGTATGATGTATATTTGAAATCCTAAACAATTTCGTAGCTTCTATTTCTTCTGTCAGTACATCGAATGTTTTAACGATACCGAAAGTTTCTTTATACTTCTTCTTGACGTCAGATAGAAGGAAATCTTCTGCTGTTGGATAGTTTTTATTAAGAAATGTCAACATATCCATTTTATCTTCTGCTGGCTTTTCTGCTTCTTTCTTTAAGTCTGCATAGTCGTTTCGCATTCTTTCTATCTCTTTGACTGAGTAGTTATATTTCCTCATTGCTGCTTTACATTTTGAACATTGTGGGTTCATTTTAGCATTGTACATTGAAACCTTACCTGCTAAAACAACTAAGGCGTCAATTGCTCTCTTCATCTCGAACATAGCGGGTCTTATTTGTTCGTTCCATACTTTACCTCTTTTATCTTTATCTCTTATTTCCCAAACACATTTTGCAACTAACGAAACAAAGTTGTCGTAGGTCTTAAATTCTTCAGATTTGTATATGTCAGAGATGTTCTTATATACCATATCGCAATCTTTGTCCATGACTTTGTGGTTGCAATGAAATCCAAGAAACTCATAGTTTACCTTTCGTATGAACTTCTTTATTTCTACTGAGTCAGTCAGTCCGACTTCTATTTCATCGAATTCTGGAATAGTAAGCTTTTGTTGTTGTATTTCAGGCAATTTGGGTAAATGGTCAATAATATCCTGCATTTCATAAAGATATTCTTCATCTGTTTCATCTTTTGCAGTGCAATCTAAATCTCCTTGGAGAAGTTCTTGCTTTATCTTCTGGATTTCTGTTTCGAAAGTATATGAAGAAGGAATGAAGCTTTTCATCTCTACTAACATTGAAGTTGGGTTCATGACTAACGAGTTTGGTGCTGTTGTTGCTAACATGTTCTTACAATAAAAATAAAAAAATATTTTTTTAAAAAAACTAACTTTATTTTTTATTTCGGGAAAATTCATGAGGTGAAAAAACAGGTGAAAAAAGAGGTGAAATCTCACCTCTTCACCTAAAATATATTTTTGGGTCATTTACGCTCATTACGATGAAGTTTCGACAAAACATTTACGTTCATGTTTGACAAAACATTTACGATGAAATCATGAAAATTCATGAGGTGAAAAAACAGGTGAAAAAAGAGGTGAAATCTCACCTCTTCACCTAAAATATATTTTTGTCGAAAAAAAATGGTTCATTTACTCACAATATTTTTGTACAAAACGACCCCAAACTTTTAACTTCTTTTCTGCAGCTTCTAATGTTATCTTAGCGAGTTCATATTCTCTAAATTCTCTCTTTAAATCTTCTTGTTCCATTGGTCTAGTTCGTATGGAGAATCTCTATAACCAGAACATATCTCACGTTCATGTTCTATTTGTTTTTCATGCATTTTTCTAACTTCTTCTTCAAACAAAGGTTTTGCATTCTCTACTGTATCTTCAAGTTCTTCTTCATCTAACTTCTCATGAACTTTCTTGTCTATGGAGTCCATAATTTTTTCCAACTGCTATACAATATTTTGGAGAAGCCCACATTGCAATATAGTTTACAAGTCTTGGGTCTACATACATTCCTCTAACCTGTTTGATTTCATCAGAAATTCCTGCATGAATTTTGTATAAAAAGCAACCCGCCGTTTTCCGCGGGTTGGTATATTCTTCACAAAATGCCTTAAAATACTCTTCCCAGGACTTATTTTCCAACAACCTTCTAAAGTCTTTCCTAAACTGCTGACACATCTTTGTTGCATTTATATAACCATCCTTGTCTCTACGTAAGACTTCAATACCGTTGTAAGTGCCTTTTGTGAATGTTTCGCCATTAGATTTGTTCGTGAACGTTTTTGCTTCGACTGACATTTCTGTTCTTACAATAAAAATAAAAAATATTTTTGAGTGGTACGTCGGACATTCGTTTGTGGCTTAACCGTCGGACATTGTCTTGAAACAATAAAAGACTTGTCTTGAAAAAGTAAAAGACTTGTCTTGAAAAAGTAAAAGACTTGTCTTGAAAAAGTAAAAGACTTGTCTTGAAAAAGTAAAAGACTTGTCTTGAAAAAGTAAAAGACTTGTCTTGAAAAAGTAAAAGACTTGTCTTGAAACAATAAAAGACTTGTCTTGAAAAAGTAAAAGACTTGTCTTGAAACAATGACGACATAGACCCAGCAGATGAGGCAATCTACCTTATAGAGATAAATGAGCTAGTTAGGAACTACACATTTAAATTCAAATTCGAATAAAAATTTTTTATTTCATGCAATGTTTAACTATTTCACCATCTTCTTTAACACCCCAGTACTTACGCTTGGAGAGAACATGAACTTCGGAAAATACCTTATCTAGCTTAAAACAGCCCATCTTCTCACCGACCATACCCATTTCAATGAGTTTGTTGTATCCTTCTTCGTTCGTCATGAGTGCGTCAATGTTCTCATAGTAAACCACAACTTTGGATTTGACCTCAGAGAAGAATTTGTTGTAGTTGTCAAGGACTGCTTTTGCGAACTGAGGGTAAGACCAATGTTCGACAATAGGTTTTACTGTGGTTACTAAGCCATTTTGACCTTGAGTGAATTCGTACTTCAAAACAAAAGGGGAGAACCTTTCAACAAAGTTGTCGACCTTCTCATAATGTTTACTCTTCATCTCTTGAGGTTTCTTAATGGAATATCCCCATGTCGAATTCATAAGCAATTTGATTGTCATTGCAAGTTTGGGGTTTGAAGCTTTCCTAATATCATAGAGTTTGTTGTATGACTTTTCCAACTGTATAGTTCCTTCCTGGGAACTCACCGTCTTCGTTTGGAATTCCAGTCGGGATATATTGGACGAACCTCATGTATGCAGCGTTAAGGTCGACATAGTATATCTTTTCGTTTGAGTCGAACTTGTCGCAACCAATGGGTCCAGTTCGTGGAAATTCAAGTGAGTCTCTTATCTTCTGAGAAACTTCTCCTGTTATCTCATAAACATCGTCGAAGCAACCTGTTTCATATAAAACCTTCTGACCTAACTCAGATGCTCTCCAATACAATTTGACGTCGATTGGATGCCTCAATGGAAGTTTGTTTATAGCATCTTGAAGTTCTTGCAACCTCATTGGAAGTTCTTCTGGTTCAGGTTGGTATCCGAACAATCCAACTCCTTTTGGAACTGTGTACTTCTTTTGTACTAGAACTTTGTCTGGAACAACTTTTGGTCTTGCTAACAGTGAAAAGTTTGTTTCGTCTTTTGGTACAAAACTTTCTGTCAGCTTGTCATCTGGAATTGGTTCCAACAAACCTTTCTCGAAAAGAATGTTTACAGCTCTGACAATGTTGCACTTGCCTTTTCCGAACATAAGACTTTCGTTCAACATGAAGTGGTTGTGGACAATTGCAATCTTCAACCATGGTAAGTCTTTGTCAACAACATAGTCGTCATGTGAAGAACCTTTCTCAGTCGGAATGTTGACTCGGATATTCACATTTGCCAACGGTGCAATTTTAGCCAATTGACCTCTGAGCATGTACCTTGTCTTCACACATGACTCAAGATACTTCATCTTCTCATCTGTAACAAGACCAGAGTTCCTGAGACATGTAAGAATACAAGGTTCATTGACAATTGTTTCAATTGAATTGTAAATTCCATACCTTGTCAAGTCAATGTCAGACTTATTTATGAACGGGAAGTATCCAGCATGTTGTCTGACTGCTTGAGGGTTAGGTTGGTACCATTCGAACTTCACGCTTACAATTCCTTCAATTGCATTCAAAATATCTGAGTCGGAGTCAACCATTTGTTCTCTCTTTGTAGTCTTGAAAGCGTCAAGAAGCATTGCAGCTGTTGTGACATTGCCATGTGCATAGTAAATGTGACCGTCCAAATCTGTTACGGTTAGTCTGAGATTGTATCCTTTCTTATTTCCGTCTTGTATGGCAGCAAGTACTCCCATGAAGCCTTCTTTGTTCTTTCCTTCGTCAAAGTTTACTGTAAAGGTTCGACCAGATGTAATTTGACTTCTAACTTCACGATACTTTTCATATGCATATCTTGTTCTTTCCATGGGAGCATGTGCGTCTTCACCTTTTCCTTTTTTCCTTCTCAAAGGATGCAATTGTTCGTCATGTTTCCAGTAGAATCTGGCAAAGCCGTCGTGTCCTTCAACTTGAGGTTCACTAACATCGAAAGGTATATCCATAAGACGCTCTTCTTCTAACCTCTCTAATCTGTTTGGATAATTTGCGCGTGCTGTTTCCAAGTCCATTTCGTAGCGAAGACCAGACAATTTGTCATAGACTTTTATGGGTCTTCCCTTCCTATATTTAAACTTCTTTGAAACTTTCCAACCATATCTTTCTAACTCTGCTTTTATTCTAGCAGACCTTCTATCCATTCTATACGGGGGCATTTTTATAAAAATAAAAAAATGTTTTTTCTTTACTTAACATAGCCACCAGCTACCAGAAGTCTTTGACGCCAACCCATACCAGCTAATGAAGGTTGACTTGGTTTAGTCTCCAGACTAAACTTTGGTTTTGGTTTATCTTCAGTTTTTGGCTCCCCTTCTTCTATCGGTCTTTCGTCACTTTTCGGTTCACCTGACTTTACTTCACTTGCAGGTATGGTTGTGTCGTCAACATCTTCGTAAATATCATATGCCATTTGTTTTTGTTTTCCTTTCAACTTTTTGTGTTTGTTGTAAAGTTTAGAATATTTCGACTCTAAGTCAATGAGATGTTCTATAATGAACTGTTCGTCAGTGAAGTAAACTTTTCCATCTGCTGTCTCTTTAGTTCCTTCAGACTTCAATATTTTATTTGTGAGAGTCTGTTTTCTTTTTTGAGATACTAGCCGTTCCATTTCTATGAAAAGTGACTTTGTAGTTAGGGTTTGTATTTCCAGACCTGGCACTTTCTATTATTGAATTTTTTTCTTCATCTGTAAGTTCTTTGACAGGTTTTGACAATGGTTCTGAACTTTTGTTTTTGTGGTGTCAAATCTACCGTTTCAACTTCTTCGGTCATTTCATCTCAGTAAAAAATTTTAGTTTGTTTTGTTTTCAACTGGTTGTTTAGGTTTTTTAAGTCGGTCTAAAACTTCCTGAGGTATAGGAAGAACTTGACAAACACGTGGTTGTGTAACTGCTGGAAGCCGACAAATCCATCTTGAGCCCATTTGTCTCAATGCTGTATTGTTCATTTCATCTCAGTAAAAAACTTTACATTCCCCACGTTTGAGGCGGTTGAGGTTGGTTATTGTTTACCCATTGTTGTGCATGGTTATATCCTCTGTTAAAGAATCTTTCACCTTGGTCCATATAGTGTCCTGCTTGGTTATAGTAGTCATTTGCTTTGTTATAATAGTTTCCTGCTTGTCTTCCTACATTGTCCATCCATCCTTGAACTTTTCCTCTTGTTTTCAGGATTTGGAATAAGATTTGCTGCATCTCGTGCTACATCCCAACCTTTCTGTACAGTTTGTATAATAGGTTGTGCTTTCTCTTTAAGTATACCTAATGTACTCAAAATCTTCCTTCCAATTCCAAACGCACCTCTGGCTATTGTTCCCACTGCGGGTAAAAATCTGGATGCAACTCCTGCTAATGCGCCAAATAAACCCATTTCTTATAGGGTAAAAAATGACGAATCCAAACAAGGACCCCTATGTTTCTAAGGCAACAAAGAAAGCACTCATGATAAAAATCTTTAGTTCAACACCAAATGCTTGGTTTATGGATATCTTGGAAAACATTCCGAGGTATAGAGAAAGATGGACCACCATACTGGCTAATATTTGTCGGTCAAAACACAAGATACTGTGAAGCCATACCATTACAGTCCAAAAATATTTTAGATGTGAAAACTGCTTTGACAATATTCGTTGACAAATACCATCCAACAAAACTGACATCTGACTGTGAAAGTTCTTTCAAATCAGACGATATTAAAAAACTATCTGCGTTCAAAAAATGTAAACCAATATTTCATTGTCGACCAAAACCATTCTGCTCTTGGTGTCATTGACAGTTGTATAAAAATCTTAAGAGACTTAAACCAACCACAAGGTGGTGAAGCAAATGAAATGTCATATGACGACAAGTATAGACACTTCTCCATGGCAAAGATGAGACAAGTTTTAAATATTTACAATAACCGTAAACAAAAAGGTTTGGGAAACCACTCCCCCGAAGAAATGAAAAACAACCCTGACTTAGAGAAAGACTATATATTTAATAGTTTAGTCAAAAGAGACAAACAAGAAAGAATGCCAGGCTTCAAACTTAAGAAAGGTGACAAAGTAAAAATAGAAATACCTAAACGCGACCCATATGAAAATACTATTGACTATGACAACAATGGGAACTCGACAGGTACTCGCATTCGTGTTCGTAAAAATAGAAGAAAGTATACAAGAGAATATTATGAAGTTTTAGGCAAACATGGCAAAATGTACAGACTGCAAGCAGAAGATAAAACGACTATTGTCAGACCTCGTTTCAAACTTGTCAAAGTTCAAGGTGGTATACTTTCAAAGACAGTTCCTAACAAATATAAGACAACTCCTGACGAATATGCTAAAGAAGTTGAAAATGACGACTAAGCAATTCTATACCATGCGTAAACTGTCATGTAAGGTGGCATGTAGTCTTTACTCTGTCCCGTTGTTTGCGTATACCCTGAAACGAAATGTGTATGGTCTCCTCCTACCTCAGTGTTATCCAAGTAACAATTTATAGCAAACTGAACGTTGTCTTTAACATCATATCCTTTACCTTTTGTCATTCCTGTCCAATCCCAATATTTATGCCTATGCCCACCTTCTCGAGATGTAGTTAAACTTACGTAGTGACTGTGTGCAGGTAAATTTTCACCTGAAATCGTTTTACTTCCACCTGTTTCCTTTGAAGAGTTTGCACAATACAAAAACCTGTCGACTATTTGAGTCCAAGTTCCGAGACCAAGTACTACTTCTGGTCTGGTTGAGTTCATTGACGTGTAAATAGAACCTATAGGATATAGTGTTTGAAGTATTTCTGTCTTTAACATTTGAAGCTCTGTTTTGTCAGCTTTTTTATCATATAAATCTTGAGCAGTGAATTTAACTTTTTTTTCATCCTCCATGACATAGACATTTCTACATCTAATGTATTTCATCGTCGTTATGTCATCCTCCGATGTTAAACCTTGTGGAAAGTTAGGAGGTTTCCAATCTAATACATCCCCACCAGCTCCTTCAACCGTTCCTTCAATATTTTCTATACCAACAGTTGCGAAGAAATCGTGTGTATGTCCAACGTCACTTTTCCTGTTTAAGGTTTCTTGTAAGTTTGTAATATTTGCAATGGTATGTGTATGAGTCTTTTTAGAATATTCTTTGTCAGCTCTTGTCACTTCACTTGACATTTTATTGTCAACATATGTTTTATCCGCTTTGTCATCTAACATTGCTGGTAGTTCATCTACGTCATAGATGTTATGTGTATGATGTTTTTGTGGGTATGTTCTATCTGTCCATGCGAGAATATAGTCTCTTGTTGCATCTACATACTCTTTGTCAGCTTTGTTGTCAATATCTGCCTTCAAAAGAAGTTCATCTATAGGTTTCTCGTTTAAAGTTCTTTTTGTTGGATTTATACAAACAGTATGGTTCTTACTGTCTTGAAACAGAAACTCGTCTGTTAAAGGGTTTAATGTCAGTTTTAAGTTTCCTTCTTTCAATGACTCAGATATCTTAGAATAGTTTGAAAAGTTTGTTGTGTTCTTATTTAGAGCTTGCAAAATGAGTTGTCGGTTGTGTTGTATTTCTCTCATAGACGCTGTTTCTTTCGACATTTTTATTCTAGATAAAATATGCTTTCAATAGAAAAAGAAAATTCAAGAGTTGCTACAACTAAACCATTAGATGAACTTTTTACGAATGTCGGTCAAAAGTTTGAGACAGAGACCGTAAAGCATGAAGGCTATCGTTTTGACTACCCACTAAGATGGTTAAGAGACCCATCTGTCACAAAAGCTATTGGCTTTCGTAGAATGAAGTTCATTTCAGAAGCCATACATGGTTTCCCATTTACGGTCGCTTTTGAAGTTCGATACTATAACAAAGAAAAACGTACGTATGAGAAATTTGAACAGGGAAAACTTTTACAAGTGAATTTGCTTGTAAACTTAGAAACAACTCTTCAAGCTTTTCAAGAAAAAATAAACGATATCTATCTCGAATATGCAAACCAGTATAACATTGACGAAGGAGAATACCATCTCGATATTATATATGACAGGAAAAATGCAACTGTTAAATTCAATAGAATAGAAGACCTTGGAGAAGACGTTTATATTTCTACAAAATATAACAACTTGGCATGGTATAGATTTTTGAGGATGTTAAATCAGCCTGCAGAATATCCAGTACACCCGAACTTTTATGAAGTCGAAAACCCTAATGGAACATATGAAAATGTTTTCGACTCAGATGCTATTATAGTTCATGCTTCATTTTCTGGTGCACAAAACTCTTTTTTATGCTTGGCAAATGACTTTTACGAAAAACCTACAAAGCTATACGAACCACCAAGTGGAAGTATTTCAGACTTTCAAGTATGGTTTACTACAGATGGAAGAAAGAGAATAATTCCATTATACCACGCGTTTTACTTAGAACTTAGTTTCATATACAACTACTATCGAACGGTAAAAATATAATTTTAATACGGTTGAGGTGTTGGATTTGGTTGCCAACTAGACTGTGGTGCAGGTTCAGGCTGTTGTATAACAGGAGCTTGTTCTTCTGGTTCAGGGTCTTTAGGTATAATACCAACAAACTGACCTACTCTTTTACCAATATTTTTGATACCGTTCCATACTCCTCTTCCGACAGATTTTATTCCATTCCATATACCTCTTCCAACATTTCGAAAGAAGTTTCCAATACTACTGAAGAAACCCATTTTACTATATGTAAAAATCTAATGTCCACCTAGTCTCTTACGTTTCCTGTTGAGTTCCATAGCATTCTTTAACTGGAGCTCATACATTCTATTTCTCCTCTGGTAGAAAACATACTCTGGGTCAACTCCTGTGTTCGCGTCATCTGCATAGAGTTGTTTATATCCCACTTCGGGGTTTGTATAAAACTCTTTCCATCTCATATTTGCATACCATGGTGGCAAACCTAACGCAGCGTCATTTGACATGGCAGTTTGCATTTGTACATCTGTTGGCACTTGACCATAGTTTGCCATTGCAGTTTGTATTCTAACTTCATTTGGAATATTCTCTGGGTTTGGTTGTCCAGGTTGCTGTGCATTCGCTAAGTTCTGTGAGTCCATTTAATATTAGATAAAAATATCTCTTACGAGTACATATGCTGAACATTTGCAGGCATTGGTTCATCTTCATATTCTCTATATCTTTCTGCCACGTCAAATAAGTAAATGACACAATGGAAAAAACCTAAAACAAGTAGTCCTATTTCAAACCACATTTACTTACTAGTAAAATTTCTTTGTTATGACACTTTCTCCGGTTTATAGGACCTCTCTCATATTCTATCTTATCGTATCTAAACTCATAGTCATGTATGTCCTCTAACCATCTCATGACACTTTCCAAACCACTTTTATCGGATGTAAAGTAAAAGCATGGATGGTTATGTAAAACGTCTAAAGTTTCTAAAGAGTCTCTCAAAGTCCAGTCTACTTGGTATTGAAAATCCCATGTGTTATAGAACGGCGGGTCCACTATAAAGAAAACATTTTCCTTGTCTTTATATTTTTCATACAACTCTGTCCAATGACATCTCACAAACTCTATACCCTCAATATATTTTTCTATGTCCTCTTTGAAAACATTTGTATAGTTAAGATATAAAACTTTTGACATAAGTGTTTCAATGTCATGAACTCTTATAGCACCACTATATAATAGTCTAGCAGATATACTATTCCAGTCTATATATTCTGCTTTTTTCAAAACCTCTCTCACAATATTTTTCTTATCTAATGGTATACGTTCCATCTTACCTATAGGTATCTTTTCTTTTAACTCTTTCAATATATTGTTTGTGTCTGGTATATGTTTGAGACGGTCCATATAGTTGTCGAAGTCATTGCATATAATCTTTGAGTCTGGGAATATTGTATGACATAAATGGGATATATAGAAACTTCCACCGAACAAATCTACAAATGTTAGACCATTCGGTAGTTTCTTAAGTTCTCTCAATATAATATCTTTACATTTACTCTTATTTCCAAAGAACGGTAACGGTGGTTTTGTAAAATTCATTTTATATATATAATAAAAATGTTTTTTCCTGAAAAGTGACAGATGTTTATTGTGACTTCTTCGTAAAGACTTTGTTGAGATTTCTTCGTAAAGACTTTGTTGAGATTTCTTCGTAAAGACTTTGTTGAGATTTCTTCGTAAATGACCCAAAAATATATTTTAGGTGAAGAGGTGAGATTTCACCTCTTTTTTCACCTCATTTCTCACCTCTTGAATTTTCATGAATTTCTTCGTAAAGACTTTGTTAAGACTTCTTCATCTAATTTCTCATGAACTTTCTTGTCTATGTTTTGTCAAGATTTCATCGTAAAGACTTTGTTGAGATTTCTTCGTAAATGACCCTAGTAGTATATTTTTGGTGTAAATTTCATGATTTTCGAGAGGGTGAAAAATTAGGTGAAAAAACAGGTGAAATCTCACCTCTTCACCTAAAATATATTTTTGGTGTAAATTTCATGAAAATTCAACGGGTGAAAAATTAGGTGAAAAAACAGGTGAAATCTCACCTCTTCACCTAAACATTATTTTTGGTGTAAATTTCATGAAAATTCAACGGGTGAAAAAAGAGGTGAAAAAACAGGTGAAATCTCACCTCTTCACCTAAACATTATTTTTGGTTCATTTACACTCGTTACGAAGAAGTCTTGACAAAGTCTTTACGAAGAAGTCTTGACAAAGTCTTTACGATGAAGTCTTGACAAAGTCTTTACGATGAAGTCTTGACAAAGTCTTTACGATGAAGTCTTGACAAAGTCTTTACGATGAAATCATGACAAATTCACGAGGTGAAAAAAGAGGTGAAAAAACAGGTGAAATCTCACCTCTTCACCTAAACATTATTTTTGGTTCATTTACACTCGTTACGAAGAAGTCTTGACAAAACATTTACGAAGAAGTCTTGACAAAACATTTACGAAGAAGTCTTGACAAAACATTTACGAAGAAGTCTTGACAAAACATTTACGAAGAAGTCTTGACAAAACATTTACGAAGAAGTCTTGACAAAACATTTACGAAGAAGAAGTCTTGACAAAACATTTACGAAGAAGTCTTGACAAAACATTTACGAAGAAGAAGTCTTGACAAAACATGAAAACATATATATTTTGTGAAAAGCTCCTGGAAGACCCGTATATAAAAACTTCATTTATGTGGGCTAGAAGGGGCGCAGCCCCTGGAAGCCCACCCAAAAAAAAAAAAACTTCATTATACTCATTCATCCTCAGGGCTAGAAGGCACGAAGTGCCTGGAAGCCCCACTCCCTTTTTTTTTTTTTTTTTTTTTTTTTTTTTTTTTTTTTTTTTTTTTTTTTTTTTT